CATTCTTTTTGTAAACATGGTATTGCCCAAAAAGGGGTCCATTCTTTTTGTAAACATGGTCTTGCCCAAAAAGGGGTCCATTCTTTTTGTAAACATGGTCTTCCCCAAAAAGGGGTCCATTTTTTAAAAAAAAAAAGGTCTTGCCCAAAAAGGGGTCCATTCTTTTTGTAAACATGGTCTTGCCCAAAAAGGGGTCCATTCTTTTTGTAAACATGGTCTTCCCCAAAAAGGGTTCAAATTATTTTTTGCAAAAATGGTCTTCCCCAAAAAGGGGTCCATTCTTTTTGTAAACATGGTCTTCCCCAAAAAGGGTTCAAATTCTTTTTGTAAACATGGTCTTCCCCAAAAAGGGTTCTATTTCTTTTTTGCAAAAATGGTCTTCCCCAAAAAGGGGTCCATTCCTTTTGTAAACATGGTCTTCCCCAAAAAGGGTTCAAATTCTTTTTGTAAACATGGTCTTCCCCAAAAAGGGTTCTAATTCTTTTTTGCAAAAATGGTCTTCCCCAAAAAGGGGTCCATTCTTTTTGTAAACATGGTCTTCCCCAAAAAGGGTTCAAATTATTTTTGTAAACATGGTCTTCCCCAAAAAGGGTTCTAATTCTTTTTTGCAAAAATGCAAAAATGGTAAACCCCCCAAAAAGGGTTCCCAAAAATGGTCTTTCCATTGTAAACATGGTCTTCCCCAAAAAGGGTTCCATGGTCTCTTCTAATTCTTTTTGCAAAAATGGTCTTCCCCAAAAAGGGGTCCATTCTTTTTGGGTCTTCCCCAAAAAGGGTTCAAATTCTTTTTGTAAACATGGTCTTCCCCAAAAAGGGTTCTAATTCTTTTTTGCAAAAATGGTCTTCCCCAAAAAGGGGTCCATTCTTTTTGTAAACATGGTCTTCCCCAAAAAGGGTTCAAATTCTTTTTGTAAACATGGTCTTCCCCAAAAAGGGTTCAAATTCTTTTTTGCAAAAATGGTCTTCCCCAAAAAGGGGTCCATTCTTTTTGTAAACATGGTCTTCCCCAAAAAGGGTTAAATTTCTTTTTGTAAACATGGTCTTCCCCAAAAAGGGTTCAAATTCTTTTTGCAAAAATGGTCTTCCCCAAAAAGGGGTCCATTCTTTTTGTAAACATGGTCTTCCCCAAAAAGGGTTAAATTTCTTTTTGTAAACATGGTCTTCCCCAAAAAGGGTTCAAATTCTTTTTGCAAAAATGGTCTTCCCCAAAAAGGGGTCCATTCTTTTTGTAAACATGGTCTTCCCCAAAAAGGGTTAAATTTCTTTTTGTAAACATGGTCTTCCCCAAAAAGGGTTCAAATTCTTTTTGCAAAAATGGTCTTCCCCAAAAAGGGGTCCATTCTTTTTGTAAACATGGTCTTCCCCAAAAAGGGTTAAATTTCTTTTTGTAAACATGGTCTTCCCCAAAAAGGGTTCAAATTCTTTTTGTAAACATGGTCTTCCCCAAAAAGGGGTCCAATTCTTTTTTGTAAACATGGTCTTGCCCAAAAAGGGGTCCAATTCTTTTTTGTAATTATGGTGTTCCCCAAAAAGGGTTCAATTTCTTTTTTGTAATTATGGTGTTCCCAAAAAAGGGTTCAAATTCTTTTTGTAAACATGGTCTTCCCCAAAAAGGGTTCAAATTCTTTTTTGTAAACATGGTCTTCCCCAAAAAGGGTTCTAATTCTTTTTTGCAAAAATGGTCTTCCCCAAAAAGGGGTCCATTCTTTTTGTAAACATGGTGTTCCCCAAAAAGGGTTCAAATTCTTTTTGTAAACATGGTCTTCCCCAAAAAGGGGTTCCAATTCTTTTTTGTAAACATGGTCTTCCCCAAAAAGGGTTCCAATTACTTTTCTAAATATGGTCTTCCCCAAAAAGGGGTTCCAATTCTTTTTTGTAAACATGGTCTTCCCCAAAAAGGGTTCCAATTACTTTTCTAAATATGGTCTTCCCCAAAAAGGGGGTCCAATTCATTTTTGTAAACATGGTGTTCCCCAAAAGGGGTTCCAATTACTTTTCTAAATATGGTCTTCCCCAAAAAGGGGTTCCAATTCATTTTTGTAAACATGGTCTTCCCCAAAAAGGGTTCCAATTACTTTTCTAAATAGGTCTTCCCCAAAAAGGGGTTCCAATTCTTTTTTGTAAACATGGTGTTCCCCAAAAAGGGTTCCAATTACTTTTCTAAATATGGTCTTCCCCAAAAAGGGGTTCCAATTCTTTTTTGTAAACATGGTCTTCCCCAAAAAGGGTTCCAATTACTTTTCTAAATATGGTCTAAACATGGTCTTTCCCCAAAAAGGGTTCCAATTACTTTTCCCCAAAAGGGTTCCAATTACTTTTCTAAATATGGTCTTCCCCAAAAAGGGGTTCCAATTCATTTTTGTAAACATGGTCTTCCCCAAAAAGGGTTCCAATTACTTTTCTAAATATGGTCTTCCCCAAAAAGGGGTTCCAATTCTTTTTTGTAAACATGGTGTTCCCCAAAAAGGGTTCCAATTACTTTTCTAAATATGGTCTTCCCCAAAAAGGGGTTCCAATTCTTTTTTGTAAACATGGTCTTCCCCAAAAAGGGATCCAATTACTTTTCTATATATGGTCTTCCCCAAAAAGGGGTTCCAATTCTTTTTTGTAAACATGGTGTTCCCCAAAAAGGGTTCCAATTACTTTTCTAAATATGGTCTTCCCCAAAAAGGGGTTCCAATTCATTTTTGTAAACATGGTCTTCCCCAAAAAGGGTTCCAATTACGTTTCTAAATATGGTCTTCCCCAAAAAGGGGGTCCCCCAATTCCAATTACTTTTGTAAACCAATTCTTTTTGTAAACATGGTGTTCCCCAAAAAGGGTTCCAATTACTTTTCTAAATATGGTCTTCCCCAAAAAGGGGTTCCAATTCTTTTTTGTAAAACATGGTGTTCCCCAAAAAGGGTTCCAAATATGGTCTTCCCCAAAAAGGGTTCCAATTCCATGGTTTCCCAAAAAGGGTTCCAATTACTTTTCTAAATATGGTCTTCCCCAAAAAGGGGTTCCAATTCTTTTTTGTAAACATGGTGTTCCCCAAAAAGGGTTCCAATTACTTTTCTAAATATGGTCTTCCCCAAAAAGGGGGTCCAATTCATTTTTGTAAACATGGTCTTCCCCAAAAAGGGTTCCAATTACTTTTCTAAATATGGTCTTCCCCAAAAAGGGGTTCCAATTCTTTTTTGTAAACATGGTCTTCCCCAAAAAGGGTTCCAATTACTTTTCTAAATATGGTCTTCCCCAAAAAGGGGTTCCAATTCTTTTTTGTAAACATGGTGTTCCCCAAAAAGGGTTCCAATTACTGTTGTAAATATGGTCTTCCCCAAAAAGGGGGTCCAATTCATTTTTGTAAACATGGTGTTCCCCAAAAGGGGATCCAATTACTTTTCTAAATATGGTCTTCCCCAAAAAGGGGGTCCAATTCATTTTTGTAAACATGGTCTTCCCCAAAAAGGGGTCCATTTTTTTTTATGGTCTTGCCCAAAAAGGGGTCCAATTCTTTTTTGTAAACATGGTCTTCCCCAAAAAGGGTTCCAATTACTTTTCTAAATATGGTCTTGCCCAAAAAGGGGTTCCAATTCTTTTTTGTAAACATGGTCTTCCCCAAAAAGGGTTCCAATTACTTTTCTAAATATGGTCTTCCCCAAAAAGGGGTTCCAATTCTTTTTCTAAATATGGTCTTCCCCAAAAAGGGGGTCCAATTACTTTTCTAAATATGGTGTTCCCCAAAAAGGGATCCAATTACTTTTCTAAATATGGTCTTCCCCAAAAAGGGGGTCCAATTCTTTTTTGTAAACATGGTCTTCCCCAAAAAGGGGTCCATTTTTTTTTTATGGTCTTGCCCAAAAAGGGGTCCAATTCTTTTTTGTAAAAATGGTCTTCCCCAAAATGGGGTCCAATTCTTTTTTGTAAACATGGTCTTGCCCAAAATGGGGTCCAATTCTTTTTTGTAATTATGGTGTTCCCCAAAAAGGGGTTCAATTCTTTTAGTTTCCAGGGCCACTCAACCACTGAGAGGTGACGTGCCGGTTTCAGTCGCCGAGTCGACCGCCCAGGGCGGCGGCAGGGAGTGCGACGGCGGGGCCGTGGAGCTCCAGCGGCTCGACCGACCGACTGGTCGGCTCCGGTGGAACCCGAGGGAGCCACCCCCCAAATTGGTAAAACCCCACAAAACAAAGGGGAACCAACGCCACAAAGTGAGACACCCAAATGTTGTTTGGTTTGGTTTTTGCATAGGGTTCGGTTTTTGTGTAGGATTTGTTTGTTTTCTTCAAGTTTGCTTTCGGCCTGTTGTTTTCCTCTAAAACCCCGCAAAAAGCAAGGAACCCACTTCAAAGAAGATGCACTTACAAATCGTTGTTTATTCTTCTTCTTTTTTTCGAGTCACCTTTCCAGGTTGGATTAAAGAGAAAGCCAAGATGACCACCATTTTGTTTGGGGGGTCTCCATCTAACATGAAAGCCCCCCTTGGAGGGTTAATGTTGCCCCCTTCTTAATCAAGCCCATTTTATTAAGGTGTCCTGGGTTTAGTGGGAATCATCACTTTTGGACCCTTAAGCTGGGGTTGCTTGATATGGAGGCAACATTAGGGAAACCACGCAAAAGCTTTTGCATTGGGGTCCTTTTTCCAGTTCTGGACCAGGGCGAATGACATCGGGACCCGAAAGGGTTTTTGGGTTCTTTTCCAAAACGTGAGGGGGTTCAACCGTATTCTGTCCTATTTCCTTCATCCCTTGTTCCCGGATCAATCCACCCAGCTGGGGCTGGGCGCTGTGCATTTTCAGCGCAGTTTTACCTCAGCGTGACCGGCGCACAGCTACAGCTGGGCTAGCTGCATGCCTACCACTTTGGGCCCACGTGCCGCCGTTTATGCGTCAGTGCAGGTTCATTCCTCGTTGATGCTTTCAAATTTCTGAAAACCAAACGACCACTCCACACCCAAATTGGCGGCAGGGTTGTTGCACAAATCGCTCATTACTCTTAATCAGCCAACTTGATGGTTGCGGTTTCCATCCAGCCCCGAGTGGTGGCGCCCACCCACTTCTGCGAACCCATGGCGCGCCTCCTTCTGCTGGCCTTCCTCGCGCCCCTGGCCTTCCTCGCGCCGAAGCCGCCGCGACCTTTGACGCCGCGACGTTCGGCGGCGGCGGCGTCGGCCGAAGCTGCGGCTGGCGCCTGGGCTGGCGCGCGTGAGGCCGGGGGGGGGGGGGGGGAGAATGGACGTTGCAGTCGTTCACGAAAACTGAGGGTTTTGGAAGTCTGCTTCTCTTTTGCCCCAGTGTGCAGATTTCGTGGCAGGTGCGGCACTTTCGCAAGGGGGTACAGATTTCGTGGCAGGCGCAGCACATTCGCAGGGTCAGGTGCAGCTTCGTGACAGGCGCGGCGCTTTGGCAAGGTCAGGTACAGATTTCGTGGTAGAGGTAGAGAAAGAAAGAGAGAGAGAGAGAGAGAGAGAGAAGGAGTCAGAGAGAGAGGGAGAGAAAGAGCAAGGGGAAGGAACAGAGAAACAAGTCATTAAAACAAACAGACAGACACAGGTCAAGAGGAGCGAGAGAGAGAGAGAGAAAGAAGTAGAAAATGAATTGAAAGAGAAAGAGAAAGAGAAAGAAATCAGAAAGAGAAAGAAATCAGAAAGAGAAAGAGAAAGAGAAGAGAAAGAGAAAGAAAATAGCAAAAGACAGAAGAGCAAAAGAGAAAAGAAAAAGAATCAGAGGAGAGAGAGAAGAGGAAAAAGAGAATAGACAAGAGAAAAGAAAGAGCAAGAAAAGAGAAAAGAGAAAAGAACGCGAATTATAGTTTTATATATCTAGAAGCATTCGACCACCGGCTTCGCCGGCTCTATGTTAATGGTTCCCATCACGGGCACCAGGACCATAGGCCCTTTTTGAGTTTTGAGCATGGCACACATGTCCATGGCTGTTGGTGTTGCTCAATTCGTTCTTTGGGGTAAGGGCACCTCCCGTATCGATGCTCAGGGAAAGCTTGCCGCAAGGGTCTCAGGAGGATCTTAAGGAAGCCCCTCCAGCAAGAGGCGGCAACAGGATCCAAGGCTAACCACCCCCACCCCCCCTAGCACCCGCAAAAGGGATTGACAACCCCTTGTTTGGATCTACTGTGGGGGCGAGCACAAACACAAATTTATTGGGATGGTCTTCCAAATGAGGAAGCCGGTCCCACGAAAGGGAAACCACTCAGTTTGTGAGTTTTCTACTTAAACAAGCACTCATTGTCATATGTAACAGATGGGAGAGGTTGGGGTGAGTTTTGCATCGGCCATTCATCCGTCAAATTGCTCCCTCCCATGAGCTGCTTTCCCAACTCTCAGGCGCTCCTCTATGAAGATTGGCCGGGCTTTCGCGCCTGGCTGTCTACCAAACCAGACTTGGAGGCTGAGGACGAGCGGGGATGGACCATGCTGATGCAGGCAGCCGAGTGGCAGAAGGTGGGGACGGCCGATTATCCGAAACTGAACCTGGGCAGGCTGAACAACCATCCCCGGTCGTTTTGGAGGTAGCTTCCCTAATGCTGGACTTTGAAATGAGCTTGCCTGGTTACGGGGATAGATTCGCTGAAGACATAGTAGATACACATTCACACTCGAACTTCTGTATGGCGGGAACAGTATACCACCAGAGGGACCCTTGCGATTCTGTGCATTGTCCCGGAATGCATTTATGCAGGGGTTGGCTTGACCCCGTGTTTCCCCCATCCCTTGCAAAAAACGGTTGCCATCTTGAAACCTGCGCTCAAACTTACCCACACCGCGCTCCTTCGGGCTGACAAATATTTGCGAATGACATGGGTTGCCCAAAAGGTGGTCCCATCATGTCCCATCACTAGGAGAAAAGACTAGACGGTCCATTCAAATCGGGTGAAGCTCAAGTCTGGCTATACATGCAACATAGGTGTTATAACTTCTGGTTGATCTTTAGCTGGAGTTGTTTTTCTTAGCCGCTATTTTGGATGTGTCTTGTTTGAGAGGTGGTTTTCAAGGGCAACACCATGGACAAGTGAAAAGAATGAGTGCCCCCTATTTGGACACATGCCCCTGTTTCCCCCTTAAACATCAATCAGGGGGCTTAAACGTGTTCTAATGAAGGGGTTCCGATCGCTTGCAACGATAGGGCAACAAAGAGTGTGTGTGTGTGTGTGTGTGTGGATGTGGGTGTGTGTGTGTGTGTTGTGTGTGTGTGTGTGTGTTCTGTGTGTGGATGTGGGTGTGGGTGTGGGTGTGGGTGTGGGTGTGGGTGTGCATGTGGGTGTGGGTGTGGGTGTGGGTGTGGGGTGTGGGTGTGGGTGTGGGTGTGCGTGTGCGTGCGTCCGTCCGTGCGTCCGTCCGTCCGTCTATCCGTCCGTCCGTCCGTGCGTGCGTGCGTCCGTGCGTGCGTGCGTGCGTGCCTGCGTGGGTGTGTGTGTGTGTGTGTGTGTCGGTGGGTGTGTGTGTGTGTGTGGGTGCGTGCGTGCGTGCGTGCGTGCGTGCGTGCGTGCGTGCGTGCGTGCGTGCGTGCGTGCGTGCGTGCGTGCGTGCGTGCGTGTGTGGGTGGGTGGGTGTGTGTGTGTTTGGCATCTGAAAGGTCCTATAGTTGTCAAGGGCCCCCAATAGGGTCTCCCCAAGCTCAATAGGGGCCAGCGACTAGAAGGTCTACGGAGGTCCCCCAGTAGCGCCCTTTCTCACCCTTTTTTGGTTGCAGTAAAATAGACTACAGAAAAAAAGGCGGGTACCCTTATTCTAACCTCTCTACTGGAGGACCTAGGTCTCTGATCCTTTTGGGGACCATTTCCCGTCCCTGAGGAAACCCATTTGGCTTTGGGTCAAAACCAATGGCCATTCTCCCCCGCGGCTTCAGCAGGCGGAGGCGGTACAGCTGCTGCTGGAGGCCCGAGCTTTCCCGGGCGCGTTGGATGCGGAGATGTCTGCGTTGCACCTGGCGGCGCGAGGGCCTATAGGCGGTGGAGAGGCCGAAGACGAAAGACGGGGGCTTGATGTTTGTTTTCTTTTTGTTGGTTTAAAAGGGAATCGATTTCACGACTTTTTTTTTCTTTCATGTTTTTTAGGGGGCAACATCTTTTTGGGTTGCTTCCTCGGTGCGAATTGGGAGCCCGCTCCGCCGCCGTTTTGTTGCCGCTCCCGGCAGGCGGAGCCGCGGATTTTGGAGCTCTTGGTGCATCACAAGGCGGTTGATTTTCCGAGGGCGATGGTACCGGAACGCCTTTTTATGTGCGGGATGTTGGGAGCTCAAGCTTGGATGGTGCTGGTACAGTATGGTTTGCCCCAATGTTTTTTGGCATATTGCCGTATGTTGCATGAGGGGGTTGTAAAGAACGGTCTGTTTCTGGCTGACAGGTCGGTAAGCCGGAATGCTTATTAGCGAGAAGCCGGAATGCTTATTAGCGAATCAACCGGATCTGGTCCCTGAATCGGCCACATGCAAAGGAACATGAGGGCAAGTCTGCCATTTGTTCAGCCCGCCCCGGGGGAATATTGTTGCAGAAACCTACTAATCCATTGTGGGGGTCAGTATTTCGACAATTGCTTGGGGTCATCAAAGTCAGTAACTGGGGGTGCTTGCCTTCAACCTTCCACTCAGGGGGCGACCACCAAGTTGTGGGTTTCTTCCGTAAATTTGTGTTCATGGTGCTTGTTTCATACAAATCAAGACACCCAAAAAACGGTCCCAGCGACAAACATGAGGGGTTGACTGGCCCAGCCGTTGGCCAGGCCCACGTCGATGCACAGGATGCCACAGGCACCACCCCGCTGATGCTGGCGGCAGCTTCTGGGCACATGTCCACAGCACGGTGCTTGGTGCGGTTGGGCGCCGATGTGACGCTGAAAGATGGAGATGGATTGGCTGCTCGGCCGGTTTTGCTATGAACATGATCGTCGTTTGCGCATTGGCTAAATGACCCCAACGGGCTTGCTGTTCCTACTGACACTCCCCTGCAGGTTAACACGGAGTCCAAGAGAACTTAATGCTTTGAGGAATCTCCCTTTAGGGTAGTTCATGTGCCCCATAGAGGTCCTGTGTACATTTGCACGGGAGTACCCCACTCCCCAAAAGAGGCAAGTTGACAACTGGGGAGTCAAGGATTTGCATTCCTCACACTTACTTCCAGTCTTAGGCCCAAAGTAAAAGTTGGTTTATTCGAGGTATGTGGGAGGCTTGGGGAATCAATGGGACACCCCCTCGTATCAAAACTCAAGGGGTGTATTATGATAGGAATGTAAGGGCAATTAGATTGGAGGAATCTTGGTTCCAGAGAGGCCCTTGGCGTCGCGTGGGGAGCCTTGGGGGCAGCCCATCCCCGCCCCCTAGACAACCGTGTATGCCAAGCCATCGATTCACTTCGGACATGCCGAGGTCCTGAAAGTCGGGTGAGTCGCATCAATTTTGGGGACAGTTTGAGCAGACCGATTTCCGGGATCCGGTCTGGACTTTTCGCGCAATGTGACACCCAACTAGTCAAAGAGCTCCCTTTCAAGACTCTTTGTCTTTCTTTCTTTTGTTTTGGGGGGGCTGCGGACAACAGGTTAGGAGTTGTTGCAACCCCCAAAAAGAATAAAGCAAAGCACTTTGCAAGGAGAGTCCTGAAGAAAGGGGTTTGGAACCTTTGATTAGGGGCCCGCCAGCGCCCCCATTTTTTGGGAGTTGGTTGGGTAGACTCTTTTTCAGATTTGAAACGACAGATCACGCTTTTCCAGCTTCTAGGCTGCAGCAAACTGGTCGGCCACTGAGCACTTGGCGCAGTGGCTCACCGAAAGCTCCACCCGGACCTGATGCTGATGGAAACCGCCGGCGGTGGTACCGCCGGTGCCGCGCAGGGACCGGAAGGTGATGTGTAAGCCCGCAACGAGGATACGTGTGGGATTTCTTTAACTTGGCGGATCCCCCTGACTGACCCAGCACCCAACAGGAGCAGACAGTTGGTCAGAGGAAAACCAAGGGAAAAGTCTTCGCCTTTGCTGACTACCCCAAGGGCTTGTTCTCAATATTGACTATGTCAAAAGTTTTACAAAAAGACTAGCAACCATCAACCATCTTGAGGGGTTCCTTATTTTGAGAAAGCGCTAATGTGGACCCCAAGCAGGCATACTCGTGGCACATGTTTTCCTTCGTGTCTGGGGTGTTGAATCGGGAATCTTTTGAATCGTGTGAGCCAGCGAGCGGCTCTCGGTCTAGACAGTCCGACCGTCCGGGTACAGACCTCGCGTTTCAGCCTACCAACGTTTGTGCCATGGTCAAAAGACCCCTGTACTTGTGGTATGCTCATCAACTTTTGATCATTTAGACAAGAACTGTGAGGGTTGAGGGCACCATGATCATGACCCATTGGGAGGTTTCTTTAGCCCGTGGCACATCGCCATCGCCTGACAGAGTGCGACTGCACCCCTTGGGGCCGAGTGCTGTCAGCACCCAGGCGGAAAGTTTCGTGGGGCAGGCGCTCGGGAGCTGACCATCGGAAGGACTCACGGACACCCGGCGGTTTTTTTTTCTCTCATCCCTTTGTTCCATTTGCAGAATATGACTATACATATATATATAATGTAATTGTTCCCTTGTTGGCTTTAAAGGGAATCGATTTCACTGATTTCACTATTGGAAATCATTGTATTTTTTCCACAGGGCTTAAGCAAACGGAAGTTTTTGGAGGGGTTTCCAGTAGAAATCAACTATCCCAACGAAGAGTGCCCGTTCTTTTTCGTGGCCACTGGGGGTCTGGGGACTCTTCATCCATGCATTGTCTCACCTCGTGCACAGCCACCGACGAGTCCGGCTCTTGCAGGGGCAAACAGGTGCCAGCGCGGCGGCGACACATCTCCTTCGGACGTAAAATGTGAGGAGTGTGGCACATTTCAAGCCCCCCGTTTCACTTCCTGTTGGTTCTAAAGTGGATGTGTCATTGGCAGCTTGGGGATTTGAACCCTGGTTCTTGTAGAATTAAGTGGGAAGCCATCCACAACCCCCCTAGTCAATATAACCGGACCCTGAACTAGATTCAGATTTGCTTTTTCCTTTGAACATCACCCTGAAAACGGAGATCCACTTAAAATGGCACACACACACACACAGCCACCCAAAAGTAACAGCAAATAGGGGCCCTGATTTTCCTGCCCTCAACCTGGTTTCTCAGGCGCCCCCCCCCCAGTTCGAGCCTTTGCTGCTTGCGACCCCATCGGCCCTTTGCCGCGCAAATCGAGAAACTGAGGCCGTGCGCAGTGAACAAGTGCCCTATGCAGAAGGACTGTCGATGGAGCGACTGGAGCCAGCAGCGCTCCAAGCGGGAAGGGCAAGACCATAGGCTCTCCATTAGTCTATGGGTCACCATGAAACCGCGGTACTCATGGGGTCTACTAGAACCCTGAGCGGCTTAACAAGGGAGGATAGTCTATCGCTCCAAGTGGCGGGTCCCTCTAGTTTGCCAGGCTTAGGTATTTTAAAGTTAGCGGTTAGCGGAAAGCATTTTCAGTCATCAGTGCAGACATCCGCCCTTGTTAAGCCGCTCATTGGTGCACTACACCAACCACACCTCTTCATGAGGAGTGATTTGGCTTGGTTTCAGGTTAAGTTGGTTGAGGGTTTGCTTGATTTTGTTTGTTGTTGGCTTAGTTTCGTACGAGTTGAGGATTTGATGCTTTCTCTTGGGGGAACTCCTTTTCAAGTCGCATGTTTACTTGTGTCTGTTCATTTTTAGCAGGGTGCGAGGAAAGAAGTTTGTTTACTGCCGTACTGTGGATGGACAAATCCTACACCGAGACATTCAATGAAACCCTATGAATAGGGATGAATCGACCACAATTCCCAACTGGTGCCGATCGGCGTGGAATTGGTCCATTAACAGCGGTGGTGTGTGAAGCATGCGGAGAGCGGCAGCGAATCCCAAGCACAATGGCCGCACGCCTCACATTACAGGTACAGGGTTCCCTACTGTGGGTGGACAAAATCATGCAGTTGGTAGGCGGCTTCTCTCATTTTTCATGGGGTTCATCCATCCCAGCTGGTGCGAAATGGAGTTTGTCTATCAGCATCGCTCCCCTTTTGGTGGCTTTAGACATCACCTGGTTGGCCAATGTTAAAATTATCTCTTGGCATGAAGTTTAAAAGAGATCCGGCTGCATCAAGCAACAGCAGGCCGAATTGGCGGGTGCCCTTGCCCTCAAAACTCTAAGCATGCACGCAAGCTTCAGACCGTGACGAGTCGTTCCTTGGAAAGATCAACCGAATTGCGTTGAGACGTCACAGGCGGAGCATGAGCGCATCTTCCACTATACGCCCTAGCGTGGATTCACAGAATTCCGCGCCAGTCGGGATGAATGGAACCCTGTAAACAACCTTCAACTGGTGCAGGATTTCGTCCATCCACGGTATCTCCACCCTCTACAAGACCTCCCCGCACTCAAACCTCAAGGATTTCCCCAAAACTCGTGGAACTTCCTAAGACAGCATTGAAATAACCCCGAACCGATTCCTAAGGGCCCTCCCCCTTCCCCCCCGCGTCCCCCGCTGCAAAGAACCAAAAAAACCAAGTCACAATCAAGAAAATAAGGGACAGTCCCAGACGTGGGTGCGGATACCCCTTCATTCTTCCCACCTTTTGTGTCATGGATTCTTCCCCCCGAGAAAGATCGTTTCAAGGGAAGCCCACCAGTAAATGCAATTTCAGCTTTTGAAGGGAATATCCTGTGACCCTCCTTTTTTGCCACCCTCCCCTCCCCTGATACTCCCCAACACAGCCGCCACCCCCCCAAAAAAAGGAAGCTTCCCTCCTGATGCCACCCTCCACCCCCTCCACCCCCCCCTGATACTCACACCCCCTATCCAAGGACGCTCCACCCCCTCCCCCCTCCCCCCAAAAAATGGTAAAAGTAGGGGGCCTGGGGGGTGGCCTGTTGATGGTTGCCTGTTCTGGTTTTTATGTTCATCTCAAATCTGTTTTCCCCCTTATTCGTTTTTAAAAGAGGGTTTTCGGGGAGCTTATTTATCGTTTTCGTTAAGGTAATCATTTTGGTAATTGCCCCCCTTGTTCATTGTTGGGCTAGGGGCAAACATTTTTTTCATTTGAAAGAGGTAGCCCTTTTAGTAGTTATCAAGTTCTGGGGTGTTGGTGGTGTATTTGTTTTGATATATGTTTTGTTAATGAAATTTTGTTATAGGTTAAAATTACAGTATAATGAAAGGTTTTAAAAGTTTACAATGTTTAATCATACTATAATTAAATATTATGATTAAACCATGAAATCATTGTTTCTGTTTTCTATAAATTTCAATTATAACATGTTCGATAGTAATGATTTCGTGTCGTTTCATAGTCTGTTTGGTTTCTTCAACTGCTTGTTCAATATGGTATTGTAATGACGCTCTACTTGAAATCTTATTCTGTTTAGATGATGAATAAGAACGACAGTTGCTAATATTATTATGATACATAATTTTCGAACTAACTTCTATTCCAACCTGTATTTCTTCATCATACTTCATCATTCTTAATAATTCTTTTGGTGGTTTCAACGCATATGAAAGCGCTTTATCACCTTTTAAGCATTTATTGCGAATCTCAACATAATATCTACTTTCTCCTACTCGTTCAGTGTAAATAGACGGTTTCCATTTCCTTTGTAATTCTCTTAAAGCATCACATTGTTTCAGTCTTCGCCACCCTTCACTACCATTAATGTAAGTAGTGATGATTGAAACTAAGCCTTCAGGTAAGCTAGCGCAATTCTCATCCATAAAATTATTCTCTGACATTTTACCCTTACTCATTTTTCTCTTAATATATAAGGCTTTTTCTCTTTAAGTAGTTTTGGCTAGGGGTTGCTGGTCGGCTGGTCTGGGTTTCAGGTTTAATTTAAATGTCTTAACCTCATTGTTAGATTATAAAAACTAGGTTTAATCATATTATAATTGAATAATATCATTAAACTAAATCACTCACGCTTTCCATCCACCTATTCCATCCCACCAGAATTCAATAATTCGCATCTGTCCATCTACTAGACTGTCTTCTGTGTTTAGTTTCCGTATCGCTCCCGATAAGATATAGTGATTAATAATCATAGCATTAAACTGCCCATCTCGGTTTAACTTTTTACCACAGTCTTTTATGATGTTTTCATCTGTTAGGTTTTCATACATTTCTTTCATGATGTCAAACCTAACAAATGAGTATATTGTCATCAAGTTTAATCCGCTATTATCCCTAAACCTGTTAATAACATCTTTCCAGAATTCTTCGTTTTCATCAACTGATGGCAAAGGGTGTCTTTTGACGAAATCCTTTATTTTGTTTAACTCGTCATCTAATTCCTTTTTATAACTGTCATTATCATCATCTTCTTCGTCTGATAGCACCCAGTTTGATAAGTCAGCAATCACTCCGACATTTTCAGTCATATTTTCACTTAATATAATAAGTTAATATTTCTTTAAGTAGTTTTTTATTTTATGTTAAGGGGCGGGGTTTTTATTGAAAAAATATTTTCTAACAATTTAATATAATGGCGAGATTAACAAAAGACCAAATAATCAGCAACATCTATTACGACTTAGACGAGGGTTTCGGAAGCACACAAGCGACACACAAGAAGGCAAAGGAAGAAGACCCAACAATAACATTAGACGATGTAAAGTCTTTCTTAAAGAAACAGCCAAATAAACAAATCAAAAATTATAGAGGAACTAATTCCTATACCGCTCCATTCGCACGATATGAATATCAAATAGACATAATGCATATGTCTCCTTTAGCAAAAGACAAGAACGTTCCACAGTATGCTTTAGTCGTGATTGACATCTTCAGTAAATTAGCAGATGTAATACCGATGGAGGAAAGAGACGGAGAGAACGTTTTGAAGGCGTTGAGAGCAAGCTTTAAAAAGATGGGTTATCCGATGTCCGTGTATTCTGATGACGACGGAGCGTTTGCAACTAAAAATCACGTTCAGGATTTCTTCAACAGTGAAGGAATAAACCACATCGT